CTCTCTCTCTTTCTTTTTCCTCCTCCCTCCTACCGTCCATCCGTTCTCCGTTCCGTCTCTTCTCACCGTATCTCTATGTCGAGTTTTAAAGAGTGTCGTGAAGCCAGGGTATGAGACGGGACAGTCAGCCGGGCCACGTAACTACACGCCGCGTACACGCGTGTGTGGGTGTGTGTATCCGTGCCTTCCTTATACACGACGGTACAGATGCGCCTCGTGATATACGTTTATGTTGGCACGGGCGCGAACGCACACTCGTGCGTGCGAATGCACGTACATGTTCCAAGGCATGGACCGGAGAAGTAGGACCTCTCTGCCCCTCTGCCTCCTTGTTCCTTCCTTTTCATAACCCCCCTTGTCTCTCGATTCCTCTCCCACCTCTCGCCTCGTTCACCCCCTCTCTCCCCTTCCACAGCCCGTCCTTTCTTTCGCTCTCTCTCCCTCTCTCTCTCTCTCTCTCTCTCTCTCTCTCATTCTCTATCTCTCTACGACCCGCAAAGTGCCCTTCCTCCCACTCGTCTTGTCCGGACGATCGGCGTTTCAACGTTAGAGACCTTACATGCTTGGCATACCTGCAAACGAGCGCGTAAGTCCACCCAATATATGTTAGATACCGATGCGTAGACACAGAGAAATCTGTCCGAAAACTTATCAGGATTCGTTACAATTAGTACTTGAGATCGTCGAGGGAGATGTCAGGAAGATCGAGCGGATAATGTTTGTTGATAAACTTTTAAATGATGATACCCATCTCGTTATCTCGAAAGATGAAATGCTTAAATTAGGATCAGGGTAGCACCCCACTTTCTAGACGACGGTTATATACGATTATATTATATATGTATATTATGGATGTACCAATTTGCCACACATAGAGGACAAACTGAGGCTAATTTTATATAGTTACTTTATATAACTGAGCATACGCAGCAATGGAACTCTGTCCAATCGACTTAAAGGGATACACAACTACGCAATAAAAGTTCATTAATGTCACTTTATGTGGAACTTGACTTACTGCGTCAGAAAGAATATATTCTCGTCTTTCATTTCACGTTTCTCTCTATATGATTTACAGCTTCCGCAGCTCCTTTATTTACCTCTTATAATAAATAATAAAATGTATTATAGTTTACTAAAAATGTATTCTTTTATATTAATGAAGAAAATGGACATATCTTAAATTAATAATATTTAATTAATCTATATTACGTATCATCTCAAATGTCGCATAATCTTTGTCATTTACTTCATTCATATATGTGATATTGAATAAAACTTGAAATATCTTAGTTCGATGATACATAAGTCCCTAAGTTTGGACCCGTTGAATGAATAATCATATTGATTGTGTTACGATAGGGAAGGGGAAGAAAGGGTCTCGGCGCAGATCAATTTTCACTCTGGCGTCTGTCAAGGCCGCGTTGATTCTGCGCCCATGAATCATCTTGCTACTTGCTCCATGTGTGCCTATTGTTTAGGGGTCGTATTATAAGCGGTAGCTATCCAGATATTGATCCCCCTTGTATAAGCTGAGTTCTTTTAAATGGCGTACGTTAATATTATCAGGGCATACGAAACGCAACGAATCAGAATGCTGACAAAGTATTTATATTGTTTTAACTTATTCAACGATGTTTCATGTACGATGTTAAAACATTGATGAAAGAAAAAAAGTGAAATAGAGAGAACGTATAAATTTTTTAGAATCGGAGCGTCAATGCGACAATCCCCATTCCCCATTCCCTGAAAAAAAAAAAAAAAAAAAAAAAAACATTTCTCCCCATGTACTTCATCGTATACTTAACGAGCTATTGCCACGACTTTGGAATTTCTCTCTCTCTCTCTCTCTCTCCTTCTACCGCACGCTGCGTATCCTGTATGCAAACATGGATTCTGCCACATTCCGCTCACCCTCGGAGCAACAGACTCCTTATCGATAGTTTTCTAGACCGAGCTGATAGAGAGGCGAGCTTGTATCGAGGTGCAGTGCGCCGAGCCGGAGGAACGTAAAGGCATCCTTGGCGACCCGCGCGCGGGTTACCTCGCAAAGCGTCACTACGGGGCCCCCAACCACGGGGTCGACGGTAATATATGCCGCTATTCGGCATTCACGGTGGTAAATATCGCGCCGTAATATCCGCGGATTCCCAGCGTGCCGTGTGTATGATGGAGCGGCTGTGCGCGTCGCGTCGCGTCGCGTCGTATTGTATGTCGTACGTCGGAGACAACGAATGGATGATAGGCAGAACACGCCGAAGGAACGTAGCCGTTTACGATTCTACAAATAATCCTCACGTCCGCGAGTAATTTTTCTCATTCGCTCTTCTTCGCAGAATCCCGGTACGGAGCTGGTTTCGCGAGGAAAATCGCCAAGTATATATAGACGGGGGATCCTCCTCGCGCCCTTCCTCGCGCAATTCTCCGCAATTTAACGAGAGACCTGAAGTTCCATAGGAAGAGAAAACGGAGTAAGATATGTCACTTATACGACTCGTGTGTCGTTCGATTTTCTGGGAATATGCTGATAATTGCGATGATCATAGTAATCTGAAAAATCCCGACCTTGCTTTTATGGGAAGGTTATACTTTTGAACGAATGAATGTTACAGGAAATTTAACGTATGCCTAATTAATTTTAAGCAACTTTTATATGCATTTAGAGACAATAAACTCGAGAGACGTGCAGTAACGTTTCAATTAAATCTCAAGATAAAGGACAAGGTTTTTCAAAGTTTCCTGTACAATTTAAATGTGTATTTTAAATTTCGTCCAGTTTACGCTATATGTGTTTACTTTTTATACTTTTGTATGTAGAGTTTTTTTAATATGTTTTAAATGCTTGTAAAAGAAATCAATGTAATTCCAAAAGGCTCACATTCGCTAATTTCGCTTACATTTACACATACAGGTAATAACGGTATTCAATGGAGTATTATTATCAATACAAATTTGTGTGTATATCAAAATTTGTACATATACATAAATAGAAGAACATATACATATATATGTTAAAAAAATTATATATATATATATATATAAAGAAAAATAAATATATTCTTTCTTGATATATAAAAAATCATTACATGATAAATTCAATGATACAAATTTTTATAGCATCAACTACATACATACGCATAAGGCCGCATTATTTTGTGTGTCTGCGTAACCGTTGATGCGTATAGTGGCGCGTTGCCGACAGACGCGCTCAGCCTGTTCGGCCCGTTAGGTAGTGGTCGCCGATGCGGTTCGTCCGTGCGGAGAGCACGTTCCCCCGGCCGGACGGACATGTAAGTGCTCCGAGTAGGTGTGAGAGCCGTGTAGGTGGCTCTCTCGCTTAGGCGGAGGTCGAGGAAGCGGGGTCGCTGACGTCCCGGTCTGACGCCGCGCCGCGCCGCGCCGACCGACGACCGGCCGACCTCCGACCAAACGCGAGCGAGCCATGCCACGAGTTAAGGGCGAAGAGAAATCTCGGCGCGTGTACCCGCGTCACCGATCGTAGCCGCGAACATACAAATTCGTT